GTGCGCGGGTCACCTCGAGAGGCTCCTACAGCGACTATGCTCTTTTCTATCGCGAGGAGGGCCTTCTCGAGGAGGTCTACAGTGAGTGTGGTGGGACAGACTGAGAGAAAGTGGTCCCTGACTACTCGAAGGGAGTCAGGGAGGCGAGTGACTAGGAAGTACAGAGTGATGTACATGGGGGGGGGGTTCGCGGTGCAGAAGTCAGCAGGAAGTGCAGCGCGGTAGCGAGTGTCACTAGTGCGGAGGTGCGTAATGAGGTCAGCAACGGTGGGAAAAGAAGCAAGGTCAGGGAAGAGGTACGGCAGCATGAGACGGCTCAGTGCAGCAGTGGAAGGGGAGGAGTAGCGCGCGACTACAGCGGCGTACAAGGTCTGAGCACTCTTGTACTGACTAAAGTGCGCATGCTCGGAGGTAGGGAGGTGGCGACGCACAGCAAGACGTGCAGCAGCATCGCGCGTGGCCCACTGGGAGCGAACAGTGGCGTCAGCATCAGCAGCAGGGGCAGGGGAAGCGCCAGAGGTGAGGTCAAAGAGAGAGAGGCCGTCCGCCCTATCGCACTGTAAGAACAGCTGTAGGTCATCTACCCAGACCTCAAAGTCAATGGCCCGACCCTCAGCGTCAAAAGTGAGGACACTAGGGGTAGCCATGACAGCAGTAGACCAGCAGTGCAAGGAGTAGGGGAAGAGCACGCAGTGACAGAGGGTCTGTGCTCACCGGACAGGGCTGCTCGGGCGGCTCGGCTGCAGGGCGGCTCGGCGGCTGGGCGGCTCGGCAGCTGGGCGGCTCGGCGGCTGGGCGGTCGGCTGCACGGCGGCTCGGCTAGTGGGCGGCCGGGCGGCTCGGCTGCAGCGCGGCTTGGCGGCGGGGCGGCTCGGCTGCTCTGCTGCTGGGCGGCTCGGCTGGGCCGCTGACGTAGGGCGGCGGGGCCGCTGTAGAGAAGCGGCGGGGCCGCAGTGAAGGGCGGCGGGGCCGCAACGAGAGAGGCGGCGGGGCCGCAGCGAGAGAAGCGGTGGGGCCGCGAAGTCGGGCGGCGGGGCCGCTGAGTAGGGCGGCGGGGCCGCAGTGAGAGGCGGCGGGGCCGCAGCGAGAGAGGCGGCGGGGCCGCGAAGACGGGCGGCGGGGCCGCTGAGACGGGTGGCGGGGCCGCAGTGAGTGGCGGCGGGGCCGCAGCGAGAGATGGCGGCGGGGCCGCGAAGACGGGCGGCGGGGCCGCAACGAGAGAGGCGGCGGGGCCGCAGAAAAGGGCGGCGACGGGCCGTAGGCGGCGCGAAGCCGCAGGTAAGGGCGGCGACGGGCCGGGGCGGCTCGAAGCCGCAGGTAGAGGCGGCGCGAAGCCGCGGGAAGGGCGGCGACGGGCCTGGGCGGCGCGAAGCCGCAGGTAGGGGCGGCGCGAAGCCGCCGGTGAGGGCGGCGCAAAGCCGCGGGTAAGGGCGGCGACGGGCCGGGAAAAGGGCGGCGCGCCGCAGCCGCTAGGGCGGCTCGACGCGACCGTAAGGGCGGCGCGACGGGCCGCTAGGTGCGACTCGACGGGCCGCTAAAAAAAGGCAGGCGCGACTCGAGGCGCGCTTCGGTGGGCCCAAGGAACAGTCCCTAGGAGGGGACCTGCTCTGATTCCATGTGAGAATGAGAACGAGAAATGGCTGAACTATTAAAATGAAGTGAGTACAAATATGAAACCCTAATTGGTTGTACCCCCTATGGGATACCCCACTATAGCCTACACAACAGCATAAGCTATAATGTTCTGACAGAAAGCTCGATTTTAACTGTTTCTGCTGTTGCGGTTCGATACAGTGACGACTCGGGTAACTGCTCAGTATCGAGTCAGTTATGTGTCCTTGCTGTCGCACTGCATTTTTTGTCAGGTCAAAGGTCAGTGACCTTTGACCTTCGCGTAACCTCCAGCGTTTGTCTTTAGTTGACTCGCGTGTTGTTTCGCTTGTAGTCTGCTTCGTTTCGTGTCGATGCTTCGATTACTTCAGAAGCGTTTAAGTTATTTGTTTCCAACACAAATGACCGTTTTTGTCTAGCAACTTAGGACCAGGGCTAATTTTTGGTTTTGAGCAACCCTTGTGATCAGTGTTGCACCTGTTCAAAAACCTGATTATCAGTGTGACACCTTCTTCAAACCCTGATCCATCAGTGTTTTTCTTGTTTTTTTTAAATCCAACCCTGTGGCATCAGTGTACCAGTTTAGCAAACCCTTATGAATTGATATTATCGTTGCACACAATATTTTTTTTAGATCATACATGCCACATGGGTGTTGCTCGTCGTCAGTTACTTCAGCAGGCTCAAATTCCGGTTTCGACATTTGGCAATCGGGAATCCCGGGGTTACGGGAAAGGGGGGGTGGGGGAAGTGGGGGGGAGGGGGAGGGGGGGGGGGTATGGTACTCGCTTCAGGGTAATACTCGTTATGAAGAACGGTAACCCTGAGGCATCAGTGTGCCTGAAATGTGAACCCTGGCATATCAGGAAAATCATAGCTCCACAAAAAATTACCCTAGGCCATTAGTGTGACTACCAAAAACCACCATGATAATCAGGGTATCAGGGTGATTTACACTGATAAAATTAGCCTTGATTAGGACTCCAAGGTCACCTAAAATCTCAATCCGGTACCAAATATCTTATTTCTGTACATATCTTCAAGCGTTTTGTTTTGTGTCAAATCTAATGCAGCGCAGAAATCGACGCCGAAATCCACGCCGAGCAGCAAGACATGGACCTGCAAGAAGAACGACACAAGAGAAAGGTATCAGTGCCCGAATTCGCGTTTCACACTCAACGGCGCCACAACAACAACAACAATCGACCGAAAATCGTACCTCCGTTCTGCCACCTCTGCAAGACTTCAGGGCATCCTCGTACGCACTGCCCGAATCGACAACAGTCAACGTCGCCGCAACGCCAACTTCGCCCTTCAAGCAGTCAAGTCGCCTCAACGCAAGCAAATCCGACAACTTCAGTACAAGTCTCAACAACATCGACGGGACAACCTGCGAAAGGAACAAGAAACATCGTCAGCTGCATGGCAAGGCTGAGTGACTCCTGCGTAACTGAGTCACCACCATATTACTCACCAGAAGAACAACTCGACAACAGCACGCCTCGCCGCGAGTCACTTCAACCGAACCCGACGTACGCCGCCATCGCTCAAAGCGAGCCGTCCGGGAAGGATACATGGTTCTTGGACAGTTGCTGCGGACAACATATGTGCTCTGATACCATGTTGGAAATAAGAAGTCGCTAGAGCGCAGCGGAAGCTCTAGGAATTAACGACGTCCCTACGGCGGGGCTATTGGTCACTCAGAGGTAGCTCTCCTGGCTTGTAACGTGGTGCCAAAGCAGCGGCCGAGGGTAGGCCGGACACAAGCTTGAGAATTGTGTAATATGAGCAAGGCATTACATGTTGTTATATAGCAAACGCATAGGGCAAACAGTTACCAAGGCGCAACTGTATAACAGTTGCGCTGCGTCGCTTGGGTCGCTTGTTTTTCTCCAAGTAAAACAACATGGTAATCCTTTTCTTCTAATGTCGCGTAACCTCCAGCGGTTACTTCAACCTCCGAGGGTTGACTCGCTGGTGCCTCGATATGCTCTGCTTCGCTTGTGCCTTGGTGTTTCGACACGACAGAGGCGCTTAAGATTGTTTGTTCCCAACACTCCCCTTCGCTTCTGGAGTGTCGCTGCTGGTGACGTGGCTTTGTCCAGTCAGCAGCATGCAGTACTCGAACTTTTGTTTTCCGAGCTTCTTGGTCAAGTAGTCAGCTGCCATCTCGGACGTGGGACAGTAGGATAGTTCAAGTCTCCCCTTCTCAATCTCGTCTTTCACGAAGAAATATCGCAGAGCGATATGCTTCGTTCTGTTCGCGAATCCATTTTTGTTGGCGATGCGAATTGCAGATTGGTTGTCGCAGAACAGAGTGAAGTTGGGTAACTCGGCTAACTTCGCTTCTTCCAGCAGCTCGCGAAGATAGAGTCCTTCCTTGGTGGCTGAGCAGAGTGCAATATATTCTGCTTCAGCTGACGAGAGAGCAATTAATTCCTGCTTGCTCGATTGCCAGGAGATCGGTCCGATAGGTTCGAGGCGGTAGATGTAGCCGGTGCGGGAGCGTGAAAGTCAAAGGTCAGCGACCTTTGACTTGACAAATGCAGCGCGACAGCAAGGACACACAACTGACTCGACATTGAGCAGTTGCCCGAGTCGCACTGTATCGAACCGCAACAGTAAAACAGTTTAATTATATCTCTTCGTATTCTTTGTACTCTTATATAAACCTTTGTACTTGCTTGTTTTAATCAACTTACTTTGCCCTCACATACCAGCGCAAGGTGGTTCAAGGGCTTCATTTAAACGCTTCCGCTACTACATCACTCTACCCAGAGTTTAACCCTACCAAAGATCCTAAGGGGCACTCAGCCCAACATGGTATCACGAGCAAGAGTTGTGATAATGAGAACGAGAATGAGTGAACTATGAAAATGAAGTGAGTACAAATATGAAACCCTAATTGGTTGTACCCCCTATGGGATACCCCACTATAGCCTACACAACAGCATAAGCTATAATGTTCTGACACACCCCCATAGGCAAAGTGGGGGAGAACAAGGGGTCACAAGACCAGTCAAGCAAAGCAAAGCAAAGCAAGCTCAGGGTGGATCACAAAGTCACCACACAGTCCGAGCACAGGGTCAAGGCCACACGGCCAGTTCACATGCAAGAGTACACACATATATATAAAGCTAGACAAGCAAGAGCAGGTATATAAATATGTGAGAGTACAAGCAAGGTCAAGAGGAGAGCAAGTGAGGCAAGACGGGCACAAGACCCAGCTGAGTGCAGAAGCGCTGATGATCACAAGGCGGAAGTGCCTTGGTGAAGACATCAGCAGTGTTGGCCTCAGAGGCCACGTACGCAAGCCGCAACTGTCCACATTGCTGTAGCTCACGAGCAAGGAAGTAGCGGAGAGCAATGTGCTTTGTTCTGTGCTCCAGTCACTGCTCTCGACACAAGGCCAGCATGGCCTTGTTGTCTACGTACAGGACTGGAGGAGAACGAGGCGGCTCTCCAAGGTCGGTCAGCAGGTAGGTGAGCCAGCGAAGCTCCTGTGCAGCCATGGCCCCGGCGTAGATCTCAGCCTCACAACTCGAGCCAAGAACAGAAGACGAGCGAGTAGCCCGCCACGAAACAGAGCCGGAACCAAGGCTGAAGGTGTAACCCTGTGACGACCGCTGCGTAGCCTGGTCGTCAGCCCAAGAAGCGTCCGCGTGCCCAGTGAGGACCACTGGACTCCGCCCTCCAAGCACTAGCCCCATGCCCGACGTACTGCACAAGTAGCGCAACACCCTCTTCGCTGCAGCCATGTGCTCTGGTCTGTGTCTCCCAGGAGCAACATAGCGTGCAAGAATGCTAAGAGGGTATGCAAGGTCAGGTCGTGTGCAGGTCATCAGGTACATGAGGCAGCCAACAAGCTCTGGGTACGGGCCACTCGACTCTACGGACTCATCCGAAGGCAGAGCTGAGAGCGAGTGGCGAGTAGACAGAGGAGTGGCCTGAGGCGAGGAGTACGTGAAGCCGAAGCGCTGAAGGACCTGCTGCACCATGTGTGACTGAGTCAGGGTAATGGTGCGGCGTGCTCTGTCCCGGGTGATCTGCAAGCCAAGGTAGCTGCGCAGTTCACCCAGGTCTGTGCACGTGTGTCTCTTCTGCAGCTCGGACTTCACGTAGGCGAGTCCAGCAGTGTCAGCTGTGGCAAAGACCAAGTCGTCGACGTACACGAGGATGTAGAACGGCGGCAGAGAGGTGTCGGTGCGTAGAAACAGCGACGGGTCGGCAGTAGAAGGAGCAAACCCAAGAGCCGCAAGCGTAGTCCTCAGTGTGTCGTGCCACTCACGTGGCGCCTGGCGGAGACCGTAGACTGGACGCCGGAGACTCCACTGGGTACCAGGAGGGAAAGACCCAGTGAAGCCAGGTGGGCGACGCAGCCAGATCTCCTCGTGCAGGCTGCCCTGCAAGAAAGCTGTGCTGAAGTCAAGAGAGTGCAGCTCGTAGTCACGGTGAGCAGCAGTGTGCAGCAGTACCCGAAGAGTGGTCATCTTCGGGGTGGGGGAGAAGGTCTGAAAGTAGTCAACTCCCTGCCGCTGACTGAAGCCACGAGCCACGTAACGCGCCTTGAAGACAGGCGGAGAACCCGGCGGCCGCTTCACCCTGAAGATCCACATGCCACTGACGATGTTCGCCCCAGGAGGGGGGACAGCGTCAACGTAGGTGCCTGTGGACTTCCAGGAAGCCATCTCTGCATCCATAGCTGCCTGCCACTGAGAGGAGTAGGGACCCTCTATCGCCTCCGCGTAAGAGCGCGGAGTCGGGATGTCAAGTGCATCCGGGTCTCCCTCAGGGGTAAGCAGTACGGACACGAGATGAGGTGAGGCAGCTGCCAGACACTGGAACTCCTCCTGCCTGTCCTCAAGGACGTCCGTGCCAAGGGCACACTCACCCCCGACGGACGGAGGACAGACAGACTCAGACTCAGCGACAAGACTAGCAGCGTAGTCTAAGCGACAGCGAGCAGCAAAGTCGACGAGCTCAGTAACGAGAGCAGACGCAGCAGTAGACTCGAAAGAAGGGTCAGTGACAACAGTAGCAAGGAGACGCGTGACAGTAGGACTGGCAGCACGAAGAGAGTCCGACTCCGGGTCGGGAAGAGCAGGAAGAGAGGACTCAGGAGGAGAAGGCAAAGGGGCACGCAGAGGAGCAGTGGACGGACGCAGAGACATCCGGTGCGTGCCAGGGACAGGAGGAGGACGCTGACGCGAACCGCGACCACTAGTGCGAGCAGCACGGACAGGCGACGCAGGGCGAGACGCAGGCTCACGACGCTCAGCCAGACCTCCAGTAGGACCAGTGTAGGGAGAAGGAGCAGGCAAAGGGGAGGTAGGCTGCAACTGTAGCTGGGACGAGACAGGCTGTGGACACTCTAAGGGAGGAGGAGGACCAGTAGAAGGTGGAAGACCAAGAACCTGCTGCAGGAGTGGAACGAAGTACGGTCGAGGCCGCGCGGCGACGCTAGAAGCAGCAGGGACAGCACCAGAACCCTCAGCAGGAGCACCCGCTCCAGCAGCACCACCAGTAGCTCCAGAACCTCCAGTAGCACCAGGAGCACCCCCAGTAGGACTGCCAGCGGTAGTCTCAGCGCCAACACCCTCAGCAGCACCAGCTCCAGTGCACCCAGGACGAGCACCTCCGGGACCCGCGACCGCAGCACCCTCAGCAGCCGAAGGACCTCCAGCACCAGCAGCACGCCTCCAGCGCCGGGCAAACCACTCACGCAGCTCCTGTGGAGAAAGTGGCTCCCGGCGAGACGAAGCACTCGGAGAACCGCCAGGCGGAGCACCTCCAGGCTCAGCACCCCCAGGCGTAGCACCCCTAGGCTCAGCACCCCCAGATGTAGCACCCCTAGGCTCAGCACCCCCAGGCTCAGCACCCCTAGGCTCAGCACCCCCAGGCTCAGCACCCCCAGGCTCAGCACCCCCAGACGTAGCACCCCCAGGCCCAGCACCCCTAGGCTCCGCACCCCCAGGTACAGCACCCCCAGCCTCAGCACCCTCAGCAGCACCAGAGTCACCAGTGACCTCGACAGGCTCGACTGCGTCTACCTGGGACACACCTGAAGGGGCAGGACCCTGAGGGGGGAGGGGGTCTACCTGGGGGGGACCTGGTACCAGGAAGAGTGGGGGTGGGGGGAGGGACGGAGTGCGGTAGGGGAAGAGGCGGTAGTAGGGGACCGACTCGTCAAACGTGACGTCCTGGGAGGACAGAACACGGCGAGAGGTGGGGTGGTAAAACTGCCACCCAGGCGCGTCAGGGGGGAACCCCAGGAAGACGCAAGGAGCAGCACGAGGGGATAGTTTGTCCGCAGACCGGTCGCGGACAAACGCCCGAGATCCCCAGACCCGGAACGCCGACGCATCGCCAACCTTCCCCGTCCACAGCAAGGCTGGGGAGGTCTCCGGCCTGGAGACCCTGGGGTGGAGGTTGATCTGATGCGCCGCGTACCTCACCGCAAACGGCCACAGAAAATGGGGGGCAGCCGCATGCATCATAGACGTACGAGCGACGTCCATGACCATGCCAATGCGGCGCTCAGCAATCCCATTTTGCTGCGGTGAGTCCGGAAGCGTGAAGGTCTGACGGATGCCCCGTGCACGACAGTAGGCACGCAGAAGGCCAGAGAAGAACTCTCCGCCTCGGTCCGAGTGCAGACGCAGAACAGGAAAGTCCGAGCCGAAGCTCTGCCTGAGCTGGAGACGAGCTGCGCGGATCCAGTCGATCAGCACCTCAGTGACATCACCCTTGCTGCGCAAGGGGAAGACTGTGGTGTAACGCGAGTAGTCGTCAACAACGAGCAGGAAGTAGCGCTCGTGACCCTGTCCACGGACGCGGGCTGGGCCCCACACGTCCATGTGAAGTGTCTGCAACGGGGCCTCTGTCGAAGGAAACTGGGAGGAGTGAGGGGCAGCACGCTGGCGCCCCTCAACACAGGGGACACAGGCAGGGCCAGGGCCCTGAGGAAGGGGAGGGAGGGACCGGGGGAGACCGGACACAAGAAGACGGGAGGCCATACCTCTGAGCCGAAGCAGAGAGGGGTGGCCAAGGCGGTGGTGCCAGAGGAGAGTCTCGTGAGACAGGAGACGACACGAACAGGGGGCAGACTCAGGACCAGACCTGGACGCCGCAGCAAACACCTGACCCGACGTAACTACCCTACCAGACTCAGCAACTGGAGGAGACGCAGTGGTCAGAGTGTACAGGCTCGACCCCGGCTGACGGGTGAACGTAGCCAGGTGTCGGCCTGTGCCAGCCTCTGTACAGTGGGTCACTCGCTGACGTGCAGGAGTGAACTGGTGGACACCCGCATCCTGTAGGTCAGCACCACTCACCAGGTTCGTCGAGAACGAGGGGAGGTAGAGACCAGACAGGGTGCCAGAGGGAGCCGCCGGACACGGGAGGACTGTGGAGAAACGAGACAGGACCGGACCCCCAGAGGGGTCAGCCAGAGACACCGCAACCGGCCGACTAAGCGGCGTGAGTGTGGTGCGGTCCCGAAAGAAGGAGCGAGACGCCCCAGAGTCAAGAGTGAAGGTGAGGGAGGCCGAAGCCGACGCGGTACCTGAGAGAGCAGACTCACCAGTACCTGAGGACGCAGACACACCAGCACCTAGAGCAGCAGCGTCGTAAGCACCTAGGGCAGCAGCCTCACCAGTACCTAGAGCAGCAGTCTCAATGCCCGGATCGGGCTGGAAACACCGGTAACAGTCACCCTCATCACTTAGAGACACAGCATACATGGCAGAGAGAATAGCATCAAAGTCCAGATCAAAGATGGCAACCCCCGCCCTAAACAGCTCGTCCCAGCGAGGGATCTCGGAGGCCTCCGGGAACTGGTGACGCCATGCGTCCGTCAGGCGGCCAAAGCAGCGCGGAGTGGGGTGCGCACCCCCACACTGCTCACCCGCACGGTCGCCGGTGCGCAGGACGTAGGTACACGGACCAAAACCCCCACCCCGCTGGCGTGCAGTGTACCACTCACGGAGCTGCTGAGGGGACAGGGTCGCACGACCACGCTGCTGCTGCTGGCGCGAGCCACCACCGGAGCCACTCCTCTGCAAAGACCCGCGACCAGCTCCACCGCCACCCCCACCGCCTCCACCGCCTCCGCTGCCTCCACTGCCGCCGCCGCCTCCACCGCCTCCTCCACCGCCGCCTCCTCCGCCACCTCCGCTACCACCGCCACCGCCGCCGCGGCCTCCGCCTCCACTGCCGCCACCGAACCCCCCACCCCCACTTCCACCTCCACCGCTACCCCCACTCCCCCCACTGCCTCCACCTCCACCTCCACCGCCCGCTCCTCCAGCTCCCTTGCCCCCCTTGCCCTTGCCAGGGCGGCGTCTCCCGCTAGGGGCAGACGCCGCACCGACCGACTCAAGACCAAGGAGGTCGGCCGAAGCAGCAGAGGCAACAGAGGGCAGCAGGGGGGAGGGAGAACACCCCTCAAAGATGGGGGTGCGCGGGTCACCTCGAGAGGCTCCTACAGCGACTATGCTCTTTTCTATCGCGAGGAGGGCCTTCTCGAGGAGGTCTACAGTGAGTGTGGTGGGACAGACTGAGAGAAAGTGGTCCCTGACTACTCGAAGGGAGTCAGGGAGGCGAGTGACTAGGAAGTACAGAGTGATGTACATGGGGGGGGGGTTCGCGGTGCAGAAGTCAGCAGGAAGTGCAGCGCGGTAGCGAGTGTCACTAGTGCGGAGGTGCGTAATGAGGTCAGCAACGGTGGGAAAAGAAGCAAGGTCAGGGAAGAGGTACGGCAGCATGAGACGGCTCAGTGCAGCAGTGGAAGGGGAGGAGTAGCGCGCGACTACAGCGGCGTACAAGGTCTGAGCACTCTTGTACTGACTAAAGTGCGCACGCTCGGAGGTAGGGAGGTGGCGACGCACAGCAAGACGTGCAGCAGCATCGCGCGTGGCCCATTGGGAGCGAACAGTGGCGTCAGCATCAGCAGCAGGGGCAGGGGAAGCGCCAGAGGTGAGGTCAAAGAGAGAGAGGCCGTCCGCCCTATCGCACTGTAAGAACAGCTGTAGGTCATCTACCCAGACCTCAAAGTCAATGGCCCGACCCTCAGCGTCAAAAGTGAGGACACTAGGGGTAGCCATGACAGCAGTAGACCAGCAGTGCAAGGAGTAGGGGAAGAGCACGCAGTGACAGAGGGTCTGTGCTCACCGGACAGGGCTGCTCGGGCGGCTCGGCTGCAGGGCGGCTCGGCCGCTGGGCGGCTCGGCGGCTGGGCGGCTCGGCGGCTGGGCGGTCGGCTGCACGGCGGCTCGGCTGGTGGGCGGCCGGGCGGCTCGGCTGCAGCGCGGCTCGGCGGCGGGGCGGCTCGGCTGCTCTGCTGCTGGGCGGCTCGGCTGCGCTGCTGTTGGGCGGCTCGGCTGGGCCGCTGACGTAGGGCGGCGGGGCCGCTGTAGAGGAGTGGCGGGGCCGCTGCAGAAGGACGGCGGGGCCGCTGGGTAGTGAGGCGGCGGGGCCGCGAAGACGGGCGGCGGGGCCGCTGCAGAGAAGCGGCGGGGCCGCAGTGAAGGGCGGCGGGGCCGCAACGAGAGAGGCGGCGGGGGCCGCAGCGAGAGAAGCGGCGGGGCCGCGAAGTCGGGCGGCGGGGCCGCTGAGTAGGGCGGCGGGGCCGCAGTGAGAGGCGGCGGGGCCGCAGCGAGAGAGGCGGCGGGACCGCGAAGACGGGCGGCGGGGCCGCTGAGACGGGTGGCGGGGCCGCAGTGAGTGGCGGCGGGGCCGCAGCGAGAGATGGCGGCGGGGCCGCGAAGACGGGCGGCGGGGCCGCAACGAGAGAGGCGGCGGGGCCGCAGAAAAGGGGGGCGACGGGCCGTAGGCGGCGCGAAGCCGCAGGTAAGGGCGGCGACGGGCCGGGGCGGCTCGAAGCCGCAGATAGAGGCGGCACGAAGCCGCGGGAAGGGCGGCGACGGGCCTGGGCGGCGCGAAGCCGCAGGTAGGGGCGGCGCGAAGCCGCCGGTGAGGGCGGCGCAAAGCCGCGGGTAAGGGCGGCGACGGGCCGGGAAAAGGGCGGCGCGCCGCAGCCGCTAGGGCGGCTCGACGCGACCGTAAGGGCGGCGCGACGGGCCGCTAGGTGCGACTCGACGGGTCGCTAAAAAAAAAAAGGCAGGCGCGACTCGAGGCGCGCTTCGGTGGGCCCAAGGAACAGTCCCTAGGAGGGGACCTGCTCTGATTCCATGTGATAATGAGAACGAGAATGAGTGAACTATGAAAATGAAGTGAGTACAAATATGAAACCCTAATTGGTTGTACCCCCTATGGGATACCCCACTATAGCCTACACAACAGCATAAGCTATAATGTTCTGACAAGAGTTCCAATCCTCTTCAAGTGATTGTACGCGAGCTCCGCGGAGTTGCCGTAGCCTCGGTAAGACCGTATGTTTTGTTGTTGAGTTGGAGTGATGTTCCTCAGTAGTATCGTGTACGCCATCATCGATTGATAGGTGTACTGCTGCTTCTCATACTGTGTGCCGTTTGTTGGGTATGGCAGGGACCCGTCGAAGAAGCCAAGGATTTGCGCTCCTTCCATCATCAGCTCGAATTCGAACGACCAGGTAAAGAAATCCTTCCCGTCGAAGGGTTTTGTCGTTTGCAGTTTTAGAACGTGCGCGAACTGCGACTGAACTTGTAGTGCGTCCAGCGTTCTCTCTTGTCCCGGTGCAGGTTGTGGTTGTGGCATGAAGCTGACGGAGCCGCGCTGGGGCTCGTACGGAGCGAAGGTAGGTTGCTGTTGTTGATTCCCGCGTGCGTAGGATGAGCCATCGAGACTCATGGGCGTCACGTTGTTGTTGTTGTTGCTGTTGTTTGATTGCGCAGGTGCTCCTTGCTGATGCTGCTCGTAGAAGGACATGAAGGAGAAGAACTTCTCCATCATGCTTGGATCGAAGCCCGCGCCTTGGTTTGCGGGTGTTTCAGTAGACCCAGCTGCCGGTCTCGTTGTTGTGCCTTCCTCTGTCTGTAGGCCAGAGGCAGGAGGTGGAGTAGGAGTAGTACCAGGAGAGCCGTTGGAGGAGCTCCTCTCCTTTCTGGTAGACATGTCTCTTGGTGTATTAGGTGTTAAGGAGAAATAATTTTAACCCTAACCAGCTCTCATACCATGTTGGGCTGAGTGCCCCTTAGGATCTTTGGTAGGGTTAAACTCTGGGTAGAGTGATGTAGTAGCGGAAGCGTTTAAATGAAGTCCTTGAACCACCTTGCGCTGGTATGTGAGGGCAAAGTAAGTTGATTAAAACAAGCAAGTACAAAGGTTTATATAAGAGTACAAAGAATACGAAGAGATATAATTAAACTGTTTTACTGTTGCGGTTCGATACAGTGCAACTCGGGCAACTGCTCAATGTCGAGTCAGTTGTGTGTCCTTGCTGTCGCGCTGCATTTGTCAAGTCAAAGGTCGCTGACCTTTGACTTTCGCGTAACCTCCAGCGGTTACTTCAACCTCCGAGGGTTGACTCGCTGGTGCCTCGATATGCTCTGCTTCGCTTGTGCCTTGGTGTTTCGACACGACAGAGGCGCTTAAGATTGTTTGTTCCCAACACTCCCCTTCGCTTCTGGAGTGTCGCTGCTGGTGACGTGGCTTTGTCCAGTCAGCAGCATGCAGTACTCGAACTTCTGTTTTCCGAGCTTCTTGGTCAAGTAGTCAGCTGCCATCTCGAACGTGGGACAGTAGGATAGTTCAAGTCTCCCCTTCTCAATCTCGTCTTTCACGAAGAAATATCGCAGAGCGATATGCTTCGTTCTGTTCGCGAATCCATTTTTGTTGGCGATGCGAATTGCAGATTGGTTGTCGCAGAACAGAGTGAAGTTGGGTAACTCGGCTAACTTCGCTTCTTCCAGCAGCTCGCGAAGATAGAGTCCTTCCTTGGTGGCTGAGCAGAGTGCAATATATTCTGCTTCAGCTGACGAGAGAGCAATTAATTCCTGCTTGCTCGATTGCCAGGAGATCGGTCCGATAGGTTCGAGGCGGTAGATGTAGCCGGTGCGGGAGCGCCTGTTGTCGGAGTCGCCAGCGTGATCAGCGTCGACGTAGCCGATTAATTTAGTCGGTGTAGTTGTGTTCTTGTAGTAAGTTAGGCCGATCGTTGAGGTACTGACGAAGTAGTGGAGAGCGCGGTCGAGCTCCGCCAGGTGTTCTGCTTCAGGCTTCTTGAGGTAGGTGGCGAGCTGGCTTGCGGAGTATGAGAGGTCGGGGCGGCAGGTGACAGCTGCGAAGAGAAGGCATCCTAGCTTTCTCTGGTAGTCGCGTATCCCGGCGGATTTGAGTAGAGAGGATCCTTCCTTGTGGTTTCCTGTCGCGTAGCGGTAGGGTGTAGAGATGGTGGTAGGTGTGAGCGCGAAGCGTTTGGCGATGGTGTCGGCGTACTTAGCGGCGTTGAGGTAGATCGCGCCTTCTTCTTCCCGAATGTTCAAGCCGAGGTACTGTGTGACGGTAGAGGAGACCGTGAGTGTGAGGTCCCTCTGTAGCTCCCCTTCGAACCAGGTGGTGATGTCGTCAGTGGAGCCGATGTAGAGTAGGTCGTCTACGTAGACGATCAGCAGAATGTAGTCGGTGTCTTTAGTGAGTCGGTACATTCCTTGGTCGTGAGGTAGTTGGCGGAATCCGATGCGAATGAGGCGAGCGTGTAGGTACTGTTGCCATAGCCGCGGAGCTTGCTTGATCCCGTAAAGTGATTTCAGCAGTTGACAGACTTGGTTAGGTTCCCCGTTGGTACCGTGTGGGAGCTCGACGAAGATTTCCACGTCGACAGGTGCGTAGAGGAACGCGTTGGCGACATCGATTTGCCGTAGCTTCCTTTTCTTCATGGCGGCGATCGCGAGGAGGATTCGAAGTGAGGTATGTCGGCTAACTGGGGCGAATGTCTCGGTGAAGTCCCGTCCGTGCTCCTGATCGAATCCACGCACAACCCAGCGTGCTTTGAACTTCTCAATTGTGCCGTCTGCTTTTGTTTTAACGCGGAAGACCCATTTCCCGGTGAGAATGGTCTTGTTCCTTGCCACGCTGATGGGGACAACTTTCCAGGTGTTCCGTTCCTCCAGCGCCTTTAACTCTCTGTCCATGGCTTCACGCCATTTTTCCCTGTGTTCCCCCCCCAGAGCCTGCTGAACCGTCGCAGGCTCCTTAGGAAGAGTGTTGCCGTGGACTGCGGTGACGAGTCCGAGAATCTGCAGTCCAGTCTGTGAGTAGCGGGGAAGAGTTGCATCCTCGGGATAAGCTGCTTCATCTCCCGCTTCTGGATCAGGTATGAAATTCGGTCCTACTCGTTCTGCTTCGTTGGTGTTGACTGTCGCAGGTGTTACGTAACCGTTGTCGGCGAAGTAGTAGAAGGTTTCGGCGTTGACACTTTTGCGAGGGTTATCTTCGTCCATGGGGACGTCGACGGAGCAGAACGGAAGGGGTCCAGCTTCTTCTGATGCGTTGGCCACATTCTGCTCGTCCCAGTCAGCTTCGTCTGCTGCCGAGGCGAAGGCTCGGTCACCACGAAAACCACCTGTGGGATCTTGGTCCTCTTGCAGGTTGGCAAGGTATGTCTGGAGCGTGAGTCGTTCGTAGAAAATGACGTCGCGTGCTGCTACTGTTTCCTTGGAGTGGACGTCAAAGATTTTCCACGCGTTGTAGTTCTTTTCGATGCCGAGGTGTAGTCCCCACTGTGCGCGTTGTGAAAATCGGCCCACTCGTGCTGCTGGGGGTCGGTACTGTACCATGCATCCGAACACTCGTAACATTTTTGTGCTGCCCTGTTTTCCTGTCCACAGCAGATGCGGTGATGCGTTGTTCGGTAGTGATGAAGATGAGAGCAAGTTGTGCAGCATGACAGCGTGGTCCATCGCGTCAGGCCACTGGTGGTTGGGTAGCCGCATGCCACGCAACAGTTTGCGCATGCTGTTCTGCAGAGTCCTGTTCATTCTTTCTGCTACACCTTGCTGCTGATGGGCGTAGGGAAGAGAGAGGAGCTGCTTGATTCCCCTTTCCGCCAGGTACTGCTTGAATCGCTGAGAGGTGTATTCTCCTCCTCCGTCAGACTGGAAGCTTTTCAGCTTTACGCCCGACTCTCTTTCTGCTACTGGTAGCCAAGCAGC